ATCATAATATTAAGGCCCCTATAATTAACTTGTATCTTCCTTAATTAAGGGGGTAGTGGGCTTTTTTTGGGTGGGAGCCCAAGTCAGGCCGTAGCGGCGGCGCATCCATCGGCTCGAGACCCGGAGGTGGAGCTGCAGATGAGGATGCGGATGGTAGCGACACCACGAGTCCTGCTTTTTAGGGCGTAGGGTTTAGGGTTTAGGGTTGGGGTCTTAGGGCTTATAGGGTTTAGGGCTTAGGGTTTAGGGCATAGGGTTTAGGGTTTAGGCTGCGGTTCAGAGCTGCGGGTTCAGGATTTCAGGTGTGGGGTTATAGAATTTATGGGTCTAGGGTTCAGAGGATAAGGAATTCATTTTTTTGCGGTGTGCGGTATAGGATTCGGGTTCCGGGCTTAGGGGGAAGCAGACTGTCTAGCAGCTTGGGAGTTTATGTTGCCTGCTCTTGCCACCTTCATCCGGATTTAGCTCCTTGCTGCTCGGGTTTAGGGTAGGGTTTTGGGTCGGCTATTCCGAAATCGCGATTAGTGCAAGGACTCAGGGCTGTATCGGGAACCCTAAACCCTAAACCGCAGGGGAGCCGTAAGTGGGTAACAGGAATGGTACCCGTAGGCCTGTTACTCATGATTCAACCCCTATAGTAGAAGCCCAAAAGTTGGAAACCCAATAGCCTCAACCCTTCATCAGAGCAATGTACAGGGAATCCCAGCACTAATTGTCCTTAGCCCGGTTTCCCAACTTTTGGGGGGGTTTACTAGTAAACAAAACTCCAAACCCAACGCCCTTGATTCCAGCAGCTAAAAAGTAAAGGGCTACCAAGAGAGCCAGCCCTGTGCCTCATGCAGGAGTGCAGGGCTTAGGTTTCAGGGTATACCATATACTACTTTACATAATTACCTGGACAATCCACACACCTAAACCCTAAACCCTAAACACCTTGGCCTTGTCGAGTTTCCAAAATTTTCCTCTCATCTGACCACCACGCAACCCTGAACCCAAAGCCCCAAAGCCCAAACAAGCAAAGCCACAGACTCGACAAGCCCTAAGCCATTCCTTGTGGTTCAATGGTTCTCAACCCACTAAACCCTATCCTCTGAGCCCTAATTAAACCCTGAGCCCTAAACCCTAAACCATAAACCCCGAGCCCTAAACCCTAAACCCTAAACCGTGAGCTTCCCATACTTGAGGGATCATGGGGCTTAAGGAAGGTTGTAAGTACTTTATTTGATTGGGGGTATGAGATTGTAGCTATAAAGTTACCTCACTTACAATCCTAGCTACTAAGTCCAACGATCCTTCAAGCACGGTTCACTGGATGCTAGAAGTGCAGGGTTTAGTGTTTAAGGCCGTGGTACTGCTTCCAGGCAGTTGTGAGTACGGGGTTTGGGGTAGGGGGGTGTCATTCTTGCAGGATGTTTGTCAGGCTGTTAGGGTTATCATAACGTAACTAGATGCGAAGTTTGGGAGGGTTTCTTTCCACAGGAGTTCAGGGGTTCTGGTTTTAAACTGAGCCATATAGAGCTATTTCGGGCCAAGGCTTCTACAAGAAAGCCCCCACCTGAACACTAAACCTCTAAACCCCGAAAAAAAAACTATACCCAACGTCCTGTTCTGGACCGCAAACCCTAAACCCTAGTCAAAACTGATTACACTCCAAACCCCGTAAAGCCTCAACCCTTCAAGGAGCCCTAAACCCCACAGCCACTCCTGGACCAAGTAGCTGCAGGGATCCGGCGTCTTCCGCAAAGGGAGCTTCTGATGCGTCTCCATGAGCATACCTCGGTTTTTTCGGGGTTCTTAGGGTTTAGGGTTTAGCGACTGTTTGGCAAATGCAGGTCGAGAGATTTTCAAAGTCGTCGCACAAACGGTCTCAACTGCACATTCCCTGCGGTGTAAGCCATGCTAGATCCTGGTCTGGGTTTGGGCTTGCGGTTTTATATGATGTAGGATTTACAGTTTACGCTTCAGGCTTTTTGGGCCAGCAACCCGAAACCCGAATGCCTTTGATCCTAAGCGCTAAACTCCTCCGTGCATCCAGCATTTCGGGGGTTTCGGGCAAAACTACTGAAACAAAACCCTAAACCCTAAACCCTACACCCTAAAACCCTAAACCCTAAACCGTGCGCCACTGAACCTTCAGTCTCCACCCCCTCCCCACGGTTTAAGGTTTAGGGTTTCCCCCCCCCCCCCGAGAGATGCGAACCCCTGCTTGGTGCCTACTTTCAGGGTTTAGGGTTGGGGTTTGGGGTTTAGTCTTCGCTGTCTAAAGTCTGCAAGTAAAACCTACCTTAATCCACCAGAACCTACTTTTTTGGTAGGCTCCTTATAAATCCCATATAGGGTCTATAATAAGAACCTACAAACCCAGAGACTCCAATACCCCTTACTTAAGGAATATACCTTAAGTTATAGTAGGATCCCTAATATGAATTAAGGTATATTCCTTAACTAAGGGGTATTGGAGTCTCTGAGAAAAAGTGGGTTTTGGTAGGGTAAGGTACTCTGGGCTTTGAAGTAACCAATGAGAAAAAAGTATAGACTGTTATTTCATAATGGTTCCTTTAAGGAACAAGTCCAAAAAAAGTATTAAAGTATGGAACTCCAAAGCCCAGTGAAGGATTAAGGAGGCCCTAAACNNCCTAAACCCTAAACCCTATGAAGGATACACCAAAGCCCAGTACTCTGTGTTTTAGGCTTCCCCAGGGCCCAACGAATCCAAGGCACCAACACGTTGAGCCCTGCTTGCAGAAACCCTCCTTGTCAAAGCGGCACCTGGAAGAAGGGTTTAGGGTTTAGG